GGGCCAGATGCTCCAGTCCCCTCAGCCCCTTGGTGGCCTTTGCTGTCCCCTCTCCAGCAGCTCCTTGTCCTTCTGGGGAGCCCAGCCCTGGACCCACTTCTCCAGATGGGCCCTCCCCAGAGGGGCAGGAGAACCTCCCTGCCCTCCTGCCCACACTCTCCTTGGTGCCCCCCAGGGGCCTTCTTGGCCACCAGGGCCCGTTGCTGCCTCATGATCACCCTGTTGTCCACCAGAACCCTGAGATCCTTGCCCCTTTTTCTTCAGCAGTTCCCCCTCAACCCTGAGTTGTTCCTCCTTGAAGAACTGTCCTGGTTCCCTCTTCCCTTGCAGTTAAAAGTGAGGATGAAGAGGGTGGCCACCCCCAGGGCAAGGGCAGTGAGGACAGCAAAGACCACAAACGCTCCAAGCGCCCACGCACCATCCTGACCACCCAGCAGCGTCGGGCCTTCAAGGCTTCCTTTGAGGTGTCCTCCAAGCCTTGCAGAAAGGTACCAGGAAGCCACTCAACACACACAAGTGGTGGCTTTTCAGCTCAGCTGAAGTTCTGATTCAGCTTCTCCGGGTTTTGTGGACAGGTAAGAGAGACCTTGGCAGCAGAGACGGGCTTGACCGTGCGGGTGGTACAGGTGTGGTTCCAGAACCAAAGAGCCAAGGTGAGTGGTGGTTCCTGGGACACAGTTGGGTCCTGAAATCCCATGGGACATTCCAGGCACTTGTTAAATTCAAAGGGAACACAGAAGAGTTTGGAAGAAGAGAAATAGTTAGAAGAACAGCTACACAGGATCATCTGGAGGTCCACCAGAACGTGTGGTTGGCCTTCCATGGGACGAAGGGGCTCCAGGAAAGGTGGGGAGGGACTTGGGACAAGGGCAGGAGGGATGGGACCAGGGGGGGTGGCTTGAAACTGGCAGAGGGAGCTGGAGGTTGGACCCGAGGAGGAAATTCTTGGCTGGGGGGGTGGGGAGACCCTGGAGGAGGTTTCATGGAGAATTTGTGAGTGATGGAAGTGTCCAAGGGCAGGTTGGATGGGGCTTGGAGCAACCTGGGCTGCTGGGAGGTGGCCCTGCCCATGGTGGTGGTTGGATCTAGATGGTCTTTGAGGTCCCTCCAACCCAACCCATCCCGTGATCCCATGAAATGCAGAGCAGCTTGGAAAAAAGAAAAAAATTGTGAGAAGAACATCTAGGACCATCCAAAGTTCCACCACAACATGTAGCAAATCTTCAAGAGACACCCAAAAAATTGAGTAATTCCAGATGTTTTCAGGGTTCAACATTTTCCAGGTCAGTTTGGGG